GGGGAGTTATTTTCCTTCTGTGGACTGACTGTCACCATTCTCTAAGTGTCTCTTGGTCTCCAGCTCCATCCCTGACCGCTCAGGATTTGTCTAACTCCATTTCTAACTGCAGAGCAAACTTGGATCAGCATTCTCCTGGCTGTGTGTGTGTGTGTGTGTGTGTGTGTGTGTGTGTGTGTGTGTGTCCCGGCCAGGTCTCAGCCTCTGCTCTTATTGGTGCTCAGCTCCATCCCCAAGCCCATTCAGGCCCAAGTGCCTCTTCCCTGTACTTTTTCCCCATAGACTATTTAAGCTCATTACTCAGCCTTTGCTGGCCACTCTATTATAATACCTGCCTTTCTAGCCATTCTCTTGCACTTAATAGTCAAATCATTTCTTTCACTAAGTCAGTAAGCATTTGTTTTGTTCTTTAATGGTTTTGAGCCCTCACATCTTGTCTCTCCATTGGCAGGAAGGCTCTGTGTGGGGTGGGGACCTTGTCTTTCCTAAGAGCAGTAATAATAGCTAATATCTATAAGGTGTTTGCCATATGCCAGGCACCTTTCTAAGCACTTTACCTATATTAACAAACTGAATCTTACAGCAAAGCAGTCAGGTAGGTATTATTATCTCCATGTTAGAGATGACAGAACAGACACAGAGGGGCTGAGAAACATCCTCAGCGTCCCACAGCTGTCAGATGGTAGAGCTGGGTTTGAAGTCAGGCTGACCAGCACCACAGATCACATTATCATCTTCCTTGGAGCACCTAGAATGAGGCCACACATGGAAGAGGCCACATAGTAAAGACGTGTTGGATGAACTTGGATTTTGGCCTTAGTGATTAAAAGAAAGAAGAAAAAGAAGCCGCAGGAGTTGCTCAGCAATGAAAGTGAGTGTCAGGGCGAAAGGGTGAGGGCAGGGGGAGGTGGCTGTGCTTGGCACCTGTCTCAGCAGTGTCCCCCCCCCCGACTCTGCCCCCCAGAGGGGGAGAGCAGCAAGTGTTGTTTGTGAAATGTACTGGTGATGACAAGCAGCCTGATGGGTGACCTTTTGCAGACATAGATCCAGGCTGGCGGTCCCATCAGATTCGGAATGAGTCAGGCTCCTGAATGCCCGTACTGTAGCTGGATCCCAGCAGCTGGGATGCTCTCTCTGAAAGGAGACACTACCTTTGGTCCTTTCCAAACTCTTGTCTGCAAGTTTTGCTCAGTCCCTAGTCCAGCTCCGCTCTGGGAGCTGGCGAGATGGCCTCATTGCTCTGCAGGAAAGCCCCTCCGTTCCCAGGCTCCCCGTGTCTCTGGGCTCTGGCAGCAATGGTAGCTTCCTTCCAGCAGGCCCCACTGCTCTGGCACACTCTGAAGATCCTACTTATTCCCTCTTAGTGCTCACCAGAATTTGGTCCTCTTCATGGATTTCATGATCTGCTAAAGACAATGGCTAGAAGACATTCTCCCAGGAAAAACATTACTCCAAGCCCTTTTTTGACACTAATGATGGAAGCCAGGGCCTTGTGTATGCTAAGAATGTGCTTTCCCATTGAGGTACACCCCTACCCGCTGCAAGGCCTCTGTGTGTGTGTGTGTGTGTGTGTGTGTGTGTGTGTGTGTGTGTGTGCGCGCCCGCGCGTTACTAGAAATTGAACCCAGAGGCGCTCTACCACTAAGCTACATTCCAGCCCTTTTTGTATTTTAGTTTGAGATAGGATTCTACTAAGTTGCCCAGGTAGACCCTGAACTTGCTGTAGTCCTCTTGCCTCAGCCTCCTAGGTAGATGGGTTTACAGGCATGTGCCATTTTGACAAGCCTGCAAGGCGTTTTTTGTTTGTTTGTTTGTTTGTTTTAAACAAGGCCAAAACTCAATGGAATACAAATGAGAGGCAATGTGGGATCATATTTGAGTGTGGACCCTGAGACCATAATGCCAAGTTCATAACTTGACTCCCTTTTTTTTTTTTTTTTTTTTT